AAAAAAAAAAAAAAAAAAAAAAAAAAAAAAAAAAAAAAAAAAAAAAAAAAAAAAAAAAAAAAAAAAAAAAAAAAAAAAAAAAAAAAAAAAAAAAAAAAAAAAAAAAAAAAAAAAAAAAAAAAAAAAAAAAAAAAAAAAAAAAAAAAAAAAAAAAAAAAAAAAAAAAAAAAAAAAAAAAAAAAAAAAAAAAAAAAAAAAAAAAAAAAAAAAAAAAAAAAAAAAAAAAAAAAAAAAAAAAAAAAAAAAAAAAAAAAAAAAAAAAAAAAAAAAAAAAAAAAAAAAAAAAAAAAAAAAAAAAAAAAAAAAAAAAAAAAAAAAAAAAAAAAAAAAAAAAAAAAAAAAAAAAAAAAAAAAAAAAAAAAAAAAAAAAAAAAAAAAAAATAGCAAGCTGGTTGCAACTTCTGTTGATAGTAAGTATCGAACCGAGCTAGCTTCTAGGCTAGCTACCATTCCACTGAAAAGTATAGATGAGCATTGGTTGCAATTGCATGACGCCATGAAAATGGCGGGTACAGTCAGTTGTGGGTTTGCGAAACGACCCGCTTATAAGCACTGGGTTTCTTCAGGATCCTTACAACTCATTGAAGCCCGTCGGTCTACTCCGGGTGACCGTGAGTTTGACCATAAACGAAGGATGTTACGTAAGGAAATTGGGCAAAGCTTGCGTAAGGACCGAGAAGCCTGGTGGTCGAAGCGTGCTAATGAGTTGGAAGCAGCAGCTGCATCTGGTAACTACCGGAAGCTCTTCCAACTCATCCGAGCCACTGGCAGCAAGAAGTCTGGTGTGAGTGAAACAATCTGTGAGGATGATGGGATGCCAATCACCAACATCCATCGACGTCTTGGACGATGGGCAGAATTCTTCGAAGGGCAGTTCAACTGGCACTCTTTGATCAAATAATAGTAACTTAAGACTATGTTCTACTCCGGCAACATCGATCAGACTGTCCTGCCCTCCATGGTCGGTGACGACTGATCCACCAAATGAGGAGGAAGTCCGCAAGGAACTCCAACTCTTGAAGCGTTACAAATCACCTGGCCCAGATGACTTACCTCCGGCTCTTTTTAAAGATGGTGGTGACTTTTTGACTAAGAAATTGACGACGTTGTTTGCAAAGGTTTGGGAACTAGAGAGTGGAACAACGTCATGGAATGAGTCGATAGTTGGCCTCATCTTTAAAAAGGGTTCACGTCGTTCCTGTAACAACTATCGGGGGATAAGTATACTTCCGATTGCGTCCAAGCTATTGGCTTCCGTCATACTTCGTAGGTTGTTCAAAACCCGAGAAAGATTGACTCGCGAGGAGCAGGCTGGGTTTCGTTCTGGTCGAGGATGTATTGATCATATCTTCACCCTCCGCCATACTTATCAAAGGCCAACAATCGTAGTGTTTCTTGACATCAGGGCTGCCTTCGATTCGTTGGATAGGACTGTTCTCTGGGATTGTCTATTGAAGAAGGGTGTGCCTGAGAAGTTTATTAACATCCTAAAAGCCCTGTATAAAAACACCTCAGGCAGAGTGAGGGCATACAACCACCTCTCTCCATTGTTCCATTCGAGCAGTGGGGTTAGGCAGGGTTGCCCAATCTCACCATTCCTCTTCAACTTTGCCATCGATGACATTCTGGAAACAGCTCTGATGAATGTAAGTAATGGTGGTGTGGATCTGTTGCCTGGAGAAAGACTTCTCGACCTTGAGTATGCGGACGATATTGTCTTACTGTGCGATAATGCCCAAGCCATGCAATCCGCACTTAATCAGTTGGCAATCAGTGTCCGTAGGTATGGTATGTGCTTTGCACCTTCGAAGTGCAAAGTACTTCTACAAGACTGGCAGGATTCCAATCCTGTACTCACCCTGGATGGTGAGCAGATAGACCTAGTCGAGAAGTTCGTGTATCTGGGTAGCTGCATAAGTGCTGGTGGGGGTGTGAGTGATGAGATCAATGCACGAATAGTGAAAGCCAGAGCGGCTTATGCCAATCTGGGCCACCTTTGGCGCCTTCGTGATGTTAGTCTGGCTGTAAAAGGCCGGATCTACAACGCATCGGTGAGAGCAGTTTTGCTCTATGCTTGTGAAACCTGGCCTCTCCGAGTTGAGGACGTTAGACGACTCTCCGTGTTCGATCATCGCTGTCTCCGAAGGATTGCTGACATTCAGCGGCAACACCATGTCAGTAATGCAGAGGTTCGGCATCGTGTGTTCGGGCACAGAGATGATAACTCAATTGGTGTCACCATCTTGAAACACCGACTTCGGTGGCTTGGACATGTTCTCCGAATGTCGTCCCAGAGAATTCCACGTCGTTCATTATTTGCCGACACTGGGACTGGTTGGAAAAAGCGAAAAGGTGGTCAGTGCATGACATGGTGTTGTGGCATGAAAGAAAGCTGCAAAGGACTGGCTTCTGTCGATCCTTCACGACTCCCTGGTTGGGGTCTGAGAGATGGTGCAACACAGTGGCTAGAGACGTTATCAGATATGGCTCAGAAGAGAAGCCAGCGGCGATCCTGCTGTAACCTTCTTTTACTTTCTCCATAAAAAGTGGTTGTGCCTCCCTTACCTGAAAGATTTCTTCTGATTGTACTTTTCCGTTCCCTCGTTACTACCACACTACCTTACACCAATCTCTTCGTTATTGTTTTCTTTTTCTTTTGCGCTCGTTAGTTTTTTTTCTATTTCTCTTCGAATTCTCATTGTTTTGTGTGGCGCATATATATTGGCGCTCTCTTGTACCAATATTCATGTGTTCAAATAAATAAATAAATAAAACGGTACTAACAGAGAGACTTTTTAGTTCTATAGTCTGCATCTAAGTGAGGATGTTGCAAAAAAGAAGTTTAGAAAAGATTAACGATATCATATCATATTAGTTACGCTAGATATTTTATTGGGTGATACGTTTCGAAAGCCAACCACTTTGTGGCATGGACATGTTTAAACAGTTCATAACATTTCACAAAGCGGACTGCTGAGTAAGATTAAGGCGAAGAAAGAGTACACTACATAGAAATAAGATGACACAGACACTCTTGTTGTTTGCAATCATATTTTTATAGAACATATAATCAGTCAGTCAGTTACAACGTAGGACCAGGCACATATGTGCATCGGTCCAAGTTGCCATACATCATGAACACAACAAGATGGACACCGGATTCATAAAAGTAGTTAATTCAGAGGTGGTAATATATAAAAGAAAGATTGCAATAAGGATATAGTACACAAAGAAACGCGACCGAAGCTGCTACCTTGACGCGGTGGTCGGGCTTGCCTATCGTGATGACCCAACCGAGCTATATTGGCTGGAACATATGTTCCTGTAGGTTCTACCATGCCAGGCAGGTCGATTGGAGAACAGTAAGACTAAAAGCAGCAACTCACGGTCTGAGGGCGAAGTCGTACTGCTGACTGTAGAGAGGTGTGACAGCAGTAAGGTGTTTCCCTCGGACAACTAGCATGACAGCGATGCTGCCTTCCCACAAGGAGGGGTGGGGTTAGAAAAGGTCGACCCTAAAAATGTCACACCTCACCTTACCTCACGGATTTCCGTCTCCGGCGGTAAGGCCCTTTGAAAAACGGAGCTAACACGTCAAAAACCTTCCACAAAAAGGCCGTGCGCGACCGGCCTCAAGCAGTTGTCCCTTGGGCTTCGCGGTCACGCTCCCAGGTCGTTAAGACCAACACTAATCCAATTTCCTTTTCAGGTTCCTCAAGAAATACCCTTCCACGGTGTGGGCAGCCGGGAAGTGACATCAGCCCTCATACCCGTAACAGCACACACAAAGAAAGAATTAGTTCTTAGAAAGAAAGATGTGAAGCGATTTTAATCTCTTAGTTTAAGGGAAGACAGAGAGTGTATACACCTACGCCATCGTGATCGATTCTGAGCCATGTCACCAAGAGTCTCCAACCATTGGTTACGATAGTCACGCGGACCCCAACCAAGTAGTCTGCATCTACCAACATGGCTCAGACTAGAAGTTAGTGACTTCAAGCACTGATGCCACGTTTTGGTTTGGCCACCCCTAACTTTCTTCCAACCATCCCCAACACCGGTTAGTATTGGGTGTCGTGGTAATCGGTGTTCAGACATACGTAACACGTGGTCCAACCATCTCAGTCGATGAAAATTCCCAACCTCATCAACTGATTTACCATCATTCCTTAATACCCTGCGCGTCTAACCTTAATATTACTTACCCGGTGATCTCAGCAGATGCGAGCATATAATACCCATTCTTTATTCGTGATAGTCATAAAGGTTGTGATACTGATCGATTGCCTTTGACATTAACGTTTGACACACAGAACAGTGAAGTAACATAGAGAGAGATATTCTCATAGCAGTCAGTAGCCAAATCGTTAACCATGATCATCAGGATCCAACTCCATAAGTACCCTCTTGTACTGAGTACGCAGTCTAGATATTGGCTATCCATCTTCAACCTATAGCTTATGTAGAAACATTTTGGCCATGTGATGAGTAGGGTTTCAGTAAAAGAGACGACAAACGCCACCCTGTCTGGTAATATTTCGAAAGAGGGAGTTGAATTTATCCACACTCGAGCTTAGCAAGGTATTTGAGTGAACTGTGAAATTTGAAGGCCCCATAAATATCATGTTACTGTACAGCTCGAACGTAAACAAACTAAATACTAAGCACTCCCTTGTCTTAAAGGACCCTTTATTTTATACAACTTGGTGATGTAAAATACTTTCATAGTAATAACTCGTCGGAAGCAGCACATCTAATACGCATTCATACTGCATGCACTTATCAGTAAACATACACACTACAAATGAGGAACCTATGTTTTTTTCAATCAGATTAAATTAACGTATTGACCAGGTACTTGGGTATGAGCCCAAACTGAAGTAGGAGCCTGTGTTAAATATAGTGCTTAATGACAAAACCTTAGCTTCATAATATGGTACAGGTTCACCTACAAAACCAATGCTAAAAGCCGGAAGAGACCGCAGAACAAAAGTACTTACCGTATCCGGGAGATGCTCGTAAAGTCAAATCCATAAAACCAGAACTAGAGTTCCTGGAACCATCTTTTTCATAATGTTGTGAACATCTACTCCATCTCCGCTGTTCAATATTTGGGTATGGTGAAATATTTTTTGAATTTTCAGAGATCGAAACGTTTGTGGACTCAATAACATGTAAATCTGAGGAAATTTTTGGAGTTTTACAACTGGTAGGTGATGGACGAGACCAACATCTTTTGCGTGTATGAGCTGCATAAGGTGAAGAATTGAACACCTCTGTGTCATCGTCATCGTCTACGTCATCAGCAACTTCACCCTCTTCTTGGTTTTCTATTCCTCCACCACAGGTTTCAGAGTGGTCTGACTCTGTTAAAGAATGGTCCGATCTAGAATGTGAATGGCAACTTGTACAGAGTGACCGGCTGTTATTGCTACTAGTATGGGCAAATGAATCTTCTGGGTGAATTGGTATTTTTCTACAGAAACAAGGTATATCTACAATTATTACGTAAATAAAACTTTAAAACGGCATGTATTTTGTACGTTACAACAAACTTGCTACTACTAAATTTAGAGAATCATAACAATCGAACCCAGGTTTCTGGTTTAATCATCGTTAAACACTGTTGTTAACTATTTTCTGCTGACTGCAAACTTATTTTTATTCTGATATACTTTGTTACTTTTGCATTTTCTTAGTGAGATAGTTCTTGAGATAAATATTCAACTGATGGTTGATATTTTCTGTCTTTTTATATCAGCGTTTTGTTTCCACTGGACAGAATCCAAGGTCTAATTACTGTTGTTGTTTGGTATTCGACTAAAAGGATTTAGGATATTAATACTAATCTACTTGGCAGTAACGAGAATACTTAAGATTAAAAGGTATTTGATTTTTTATGCAGAATAATTACTATGTAGTTTTAAGGGGAGTACAAACTGCAGATGATCCCCTCGAATGAAAATGAATATCACTTTTTTAATCAAAGTAACCTTTATCGTCTAAAACATTGAGTTCTATATTCGAACCTTGAAACTAATGGAGACAAGTACTTAATTCTGAAAGCATATGGTGGAATCTAAACAAAGAAACTAATTTACACAGATATTATTTTATATGATATTCAGTTTACTGACACAGAAAAAATCTTGCTGAAAGTTAGATAGCCATCGTGTTCACAATAGGTCAATAAGTATAGATCTATTGTTTCACCAAAATATATTCTGGATTTTCTATAATTAACTTTATACGATACGAAATAGCCCTAAAAGATATAGATACAATGTGGAAATGGATGCAGTGTCACACCTGATCAATCGATGACTTAGTGTTTCAAGAACCAGAATTGTCACTGTTGGATATCCAGGCCTGGACTGCTATTAAAACAACTAATTGGTCAAGTATGCGCTTGTTTACTAGAATGATAAACAGATAAATGTCGATTGGAAGATAATTTCTCCGTGAACGTACTAACAATAAAGACAGTAAGAGCAAAGCTATTTACAGTATCTGAGTGGTCCTCCGTAAAACGTTTACAGGAAGCTACATAGACAGTTATTCACTCTTGCTTTATTTTAGATAAACCGCCGTAGCAAATAAATTTCGAAAAAACATTTAAGAAAAACGGACCTTGTGAGAGGTGAAGCAGTTTTATCTTCAACACAGTCCTGATCATGAGAAATAGGTGGAGTAAGTCCCAAAACTTCTGGAATAACTAATTCGCCAATTTTGTTTTCTACAGAGGAGAATGAAGCGTTTTTTGACAAGAACTGATTTGAAGATTGATCAGACGGGTTGACAGAGTTTGTTACATGTTCATTAGAGTCATGAACGATTTCCTGAGCCGAATAATCTCTAAGGAGGTGAATATCACCAACAGTGTTTGATGAATCAGGAATTAAAGCATTAGGTGTAGAATTCTCATTAGAAGTTAACTGATCACTTTCTTTATCTGGTTTGTGACCTGAATCATTCGGTTCTCGAGAGGTTGACTCGACGATCATATTTGTACTATCACCTTTACAACGTAGACGTCTTGTGAACAGTGTACAGCTAGCTTCCCTAGTTCGTTTTTCGGGTTCGCTTGAGCAATCACCACTTTCCAAACGAGATATTTCAGTATGAGTTTGATAGTTACGGTGTAAGTGTTTTGAATATCGATCACGGTGGATAGAATTGGCTAGGGAAAAAAAACTTTGTGAAGATAAAATTTCAGAAAAGTAGTCCAAACATAGTGTAAAAAAATATAGATGTGAGAGGAATTTTAGCACTAAAAGTAAAGTGAATAAGCAATAAGGGTGACAAATTTCTACACACGTGAATAAGCTTTGTTTACATAAAGTATTTTTCAGAAAGACATAGTCCATTTGAGAAGCCAGTTTAAAACTTCTTTAAATCCGCTACCAAGAGAACGAACGAACAGCACATTTATCTGGTCTTTCAGGCAGACCTGTGATAACGTACAAACATTTTTACTACTACCTGGATTTAAGGTTGAACAGGAAGAAAAAATACTGGTTGCATAGGTACAATTTAACAAAAGCTACGTAATAAACAATTTACCTGCATTATGTTGTCTGCGAACTGCATGGTGATCTCGAGATAATCGTATGGCGCCTTCTACAGCTTTCAGGAGATGATTTGGAACATGACCTCTGGAAGATGAATCTGGACCAGTACCTGAAAAGTGAAATGTTAGAATGCCACTATTTTATTAACCTACTACGAAAGTAAAGAAGGTACAATAATGTGCGCAAAAGTAGAAATGTATTCGTTTTACAGAGTAAGGTGATGATAAGAGTGCAGATAGGTAAGCGGCTATACAGTGACAGCAAACGATTCCTGTGACAGTAGAATTCAACATAAACAAACAAAGGCTAAAAATGTTTACCATACTTCTTACACTTACGACCTGTTTATCCCATTTGGATATACAGATGAAATTCTAAATAGTTAGTTGGCAGTAGAATCACAAGGTATACTTCTATGTAGTTAATACCTGTATAAAAGCGATTGATCGAAAGATATTTTAAATGCATTTACATATTATCAGGTTTGATTAAGAACACGATGTAATAAGCTCACATTCTTATCATGGAAATATGTCAGTTATTATAATGAACGAGGTGTTTTAATTTCTGGATTACATACATACAATAGGTCTAAACAGACAGCAACGACAACAAACTACTCACCACTTGAATATGATTACAACAAAACAGAATAATCAGTGTAGTGTTGTGGAGATTGTTGAGTTTTGATTGAGATCATGAATGGATCAATGTTGGACGAACATTGAAAACCTGGAGGCATTGAACGACCGTTCCGTCCTAGTATGGAACTCCTCGGTAGTGCTTTCAGGTTTTCAATAGTCGTATAACATTGACCCATTCATGATCTCAATCAGAACAGAATAAATCAAAGAGGATTCGAAGTTAGCAGATTTTAGTATAGGTCATCACCTTAGGAGGAAAGACATCTTATAAACACCTTACAGGTGGTTACTATGGATAGGATTTGTCCTCCATGTAATCGTGGGTCAGACTTGAAAAAGAAACTAGAAGTGATTCCATTGACAAATATAGACAAAGTTATTTAGCTTCTATAAATAAAATAAGCTCCCTGATCTAGACATATTACCGTCATTTAATTCTGCTATTCGTTTAACTGTGATGCTACAAATTTAGTAAAGAATGAGAATTAAGCACAACAAGAGACTTCTTGTGTCCTTAACACCACATTTCAGGTTTGTAGAAGCTGCTAGGGGTTCCACACAGAAAATAACAAGAAATGCCAATTCTCTATGCTATCTCTCCATATGGTTTCAATAATCACAACTAAACAGCATTCTACTATCAATAAAACCGGGTCATTTATCAAAACGCCAGTCATTGTCTCCTCAATTTAAAATGTAAATATTCGTCTACTTAGCAGTCAATGGAGTCCACTCATTTACATGTTAATATTTCATAGCTTTTCGAGATAATGTATTTTTCTTTATAACTTTAAGTGTACAGAGGCTTAAAACTGCGAAAGTATGATCTCAGAAGACGAAACGAAATGAGAAACGATTATTTCTTTAATAAGACCTGTTTACAGCAACCAAAAATGAAAAGTGATGGCATGGAAACGAGGTGGATATTCCGATTTTGAGCATGTTCATTGAACGTATTATCTGTAGATTAACATCACAAGCAGTTTCCCTACCAGACGAGGGTAGCCATGCAATCAAAAGAGTAAGATAACTGATAACTATGATAGTGATTTGTCGGAACTCAAATCCACAAGCACAATAAACCATTGATGTAATGGAGAAAACTCAAGTAAAGAAGAAAACGTTGTGGCTCAGTGAACTAAAACACGCAACTTTGTGACAAAATTAATAACACTTATAAACTACTTAAACATTGGTAAGTGCAGTTAAATTCAAGCATGTAATTTACGAGAGAGAGAGAGAGAGAAATGATTGCATTTTTATAGCTCTATCAAAATAAAAAAGAACATACTAAAGAGTGAATTTTAGATGTGCTTTAGATAATACAGCCTTAAAACGACCTAAGGAGAATATTAATCTTATTTTATTTTTTATCAGCAAGTATTTACCAGCATAAATAATCAAGGCATTGACACCAATTTTTTTTATACATGTAACTGAGTACCCATGTATAGGTGTGCATATGAAGATATGAACGTTGGCTTTTGATTTAGTTCTTATATTGAAATTAGACCCAAATAAGATAAGTTTTAAACTTGTAACCGAATCAACAAACCACCCAAACATTTAATTTATCAAACAAGTGTCGTTTATATAACTACTCCTAAAATGATTATTAAAGTTAAGATAAAATGAAATTCATAATTATCTAAAAAACTTTTTTCTCAATGACAAAACTCGTATCGTGAATTGCATTTTATTGAGACTCTGCATTAAACTTATGTTCAGCTTATGAAATACGCTACATACGATATTCCATGATGATCTTAGGCTGCTAGTGTTCACAGTGAGCATAAGAGTATTTAAATTTATACTAAAAACTTACAAGATTCATTAGTCTTACTTTGAGTGAGTCTAGGTAAGGAAGGAGAAACATGTTGAACCATTCTAAAGTCCTTTGAAGTAGAACTTCGAACAGAAGGGTGTTTGTTTATACTATTGTTTAGTGGCGATGAAAATTTTCTGACTCCTCGCATTGATAAAATTCTGCTTTCTGATGATGTGTCTGTTTTTCTTCCTGGATTACTTGCAACTTCATCATCTTTTTGTTTCCTTTGATGAAAGCAATGAGATTTAGAAAGGAACTGCCCATGAATTGTTTTAGTATATTTGCGCCTACATTCGTCAGCAATAGGAAGTTGTTTATCTGCATTATAAGCTGGTATACTTTTATCTCCGGATTTCTTATTAGAGCGATTTAGCCGTTTATTGACACGTGAACTTCCAGATAAAGCACTATTTTGCTTGAGTTCACAGGATTTCTCATACACTCCATGTTTAATTGAGTCACGGCATCCACAATTCTCTAGATTCTTTCCACCCACATCAACTACAGATAGTGAATGTGATAGTAACGATTTACCATCTACAGATGGGTCTAGAAAGCTATGTGAGAGTCCATTATTCATTAAACCAGTTTGAGACGTAGGTTGGTCCTGACTAGTAGAACTGGAAGATGACGTAGATGATGATGATGAGCTTGAAGACACTGAACGTGATGACTGTGAACCGAAAGAAGACCCAGATGAATGTGAATTATATTTTTTAACATGTTCAGTCTGTGTAACTGCATCGCACTTTGAAACAACATTAAGATTCCTATTCGGCATATTGTTACCAGAGTATATATTGATAGGTGGACGATCAGAATGTAAATATGCTACTAGATCCGTGTAGTAATTCTGCTTCTCGGGGTTTATTTGGGTATCACAATTCAAATTCTTTTGGCTAACAGCTTTTGGCTCCGGAACCCTATATCTAGGATCAAAGTTTTACATTGCACAAACGAAAATATGAATTACGACATTTGAGAAGTATGGAGATTAGGAAACGACTGTCCAACTTTACATAATTTAGACAGCAAAATAGGAAAAATGTTAACTGTTTATGGTGATGCGGCTAAAACCACTTAAAGTTAGGCAGAGTCAAAAGCAGGAAGTAAGTGATACTTGATGATATTTTGAACTTTGGTTCACCCAAGTGGCCGGAGAATATGTTGAATACGTTGAGTGACCTTCAACTCTAGAACGATGCTAGTTCAAGTCATCGTGTTGCAGAAATTATGTTAGTGGATAGACCTAAACATTGAATCAATCCATAAAGTTACTTAATTTTAGTTTAGGCTGTGTAGACAAGTGTCAAATTTCTGGGTGAAACCTTTCATAACTCAGTACTTAATGTATGAAGACCGTAAGTAACACGGCTCGAAATCAATTAGAACAGTGAGAATGTATTTATTAACTTTTCAATATACATGGAAATCACTCATTTTATGGTTTTCATTCTATTGTGAATTTCCTTTTTCTGTTCTGTAATAAAGTGAATCAGATTGAATTCCTATACTATAGTATAAACTCCTACAGTATGTAGTTTGTAGCTTTATGCAGATGGGAAAACATTTGAGTTAGACTATGGAACTCCAGAATTATTGTGAAAGTGAGAGACTGACAGAACATTATTTCGCATTGTACCTCTTTGAAGTGATAAATTTTGTTGAGGGTAGTGAGGTTTGTTCAGACCCTTCCATTAATGTCTTTATTGTTCTACATTTAATTCAGTATTCCGACCGTAGTATTTAGCTGACTAGCCAAGTTCGTAAATGCCTGAAGCTCTTCTAGGGTTACTGCTGGTCCTAAGGTCCTAGGTATGGGGTCAGTAACCCCATCCTGTAGAAAAAAGCTTGCAAAAAACGTTAACCAGAGTAACCGAAGCAAATAATTCAAACTCTGCCCTCTGAAATGAAAGAAATATGGCGCCTCATGATGAAAACCGATATTCTTAGGAAGTCACGTGGTTGATGCCTCTTCTAACAACCAGAGCAATAACTAATTTAGGTACGTGGGATGTTCGGACAATGTGAGAGGCCAGGAGGATCAGTCAAATAGCTGTAGAAATTAGGATATACAACTTGACGGTGCTCGGAATCAGCGAAACCTAATGGACCCAAGCTGGATAGAAGAGGTTAAATTCAAGAGAAATGCTGCTGTACTTTGATCAAGAAGAAAATGTTTCGCACACTCAATGAGTTGCTCTGATGCTATACAAAAAAGCACGTAAAGCACTTATAGGACGGGGATCTCATGGATCCAGGATCATCAAAGCACCTTTCAGAACAAATGAGGGGATCACAGTGAATGTTACCCAGTGTTATGCACCCACCAATAATAGCAGTGAAGATGATAAATATCAGTTTTACGAGGGGCTGCAATAAATAATAGCGAAGTGCTCAGGAAACGACCAGACCACCCTGATGGGAGACTTAAATGCCAAAGTCGGAATGAAGAACAGTGAGTATGAACATAGCATGGGACGACATGGACTGACTGAGAGAAAGGAACTATAACGGTGACAGATTTGCAAATTTATGTACATTCAACAAAATGGTTATAGGTGGCACAATATTCCCGCACAAATGCATACACAAAGCTACATGGGTCTCACCAGATCACACTACAGACAATCAGATTGAAATACTGGCCAACTCAACGAATTCAAGATAACTCTCAACAACAAGTTCCAAGCACTACAAGGTCTATTCAAAGAAGAAGAGCCAAAGAAGCACTAACTTCAACGTATCAGAAGGTTCTGCGACGCAAAAAGCATCAACATAAGAAATGAATCTCTATCGAAACACTAAGCAAGTTTCAAAAAAGGAAGAACAAGAACAGAGCAACTAACGACAGCAGTACAACAACAGAGAAAGCCAAGACACAAAACTGAATACACAGAAGAAAACATTCAAGTGAAAAGGAGCATTAGAGCCGACAAGCAGAAATACGTGGAATAAGTAGCAAAGACGGTGGAAAAAGCCGAAAGAGAAGGAAATATGAAACAACTACATGACACAACGAAGAAACCAGCAGGAAGATATAGTAAACCAGAGAGACCTGTCAAAGACAACGAAGGCAAGACAACCACCGAGATTCAAGAACAGCGTAACAGATGGGTAGAATATTCCGAGGAACTGTTGAATAGACCAGCTCCATTGAATCCACCGGACATCGAAGCAGCACACACAGACCTTCCAATAGATGTCACTCCATCAACGATCGAAGAGATCTGGATGACCATCAGACAAATCAAGAGTGAGAAAGCAGCAGGATCTGACAATATACCAGCTGAAGCACTGAAGTCAGACATAAGAGTAACTGCAAACATGCTTCACCTTTTATTCACAAAGATTTGGGAGGAGGAATAAGTGCCACCGACTGACTGGGAAGAAAGATATCTGGTCAATGTACAGAAGAAAGGAGATTTGAGCAAATATGAAAACTATCAAGGCATTACACTACTGTTGGTACCAGGAAAAGTTTTCAGTGTTGCTGACCCGGATGAAAGATTCAGTAGATGCCCAACTTCGAGATCAATACGCCGGATTCCATAAGGATCGGTCGTGCACAGACCAAATCACGACACTACGGATCATCATTGAACAACCAACTGAGTGAAACTCGTCACTATACATCAACTCCCTTGATTATGAGGAAGCCTTTGACAGTGTAGATAGAAGGACCTTGTGGGATCTTCTTTGACACTATGGCGTACCTGAGAAAATCGCCATCATCATCCGGAATTCATACGACGGAGTGCAGTGCAAAGTCGTGCATGGAGGACAGCTGACAAACGTATTCCAGGTGACGACCGGAGTCAGACAAGGCTGTTTGTTCTCCCTCTTTCTCTTTCTTATGGTGGTTGGATGGATTATGAAGACCTCTACATCTGAAAGGAAACACAGAATACAACGGATAGCTTGGGTGCAATTAGACGATTTGGACTTTGCAGATGACCTGGCTCTTCTATCCCGTACACAGCAACAAATGCAAATGAAGAAAGCCAGTGTAGCAGAAGCCTCTGCATCAGTAGGCTTCAACATACACAAGGGAAAAAGCAAGGTCCTCAAATACAACACAGAGAACACCAACATTACCACACTTGGTAGAGAAACTCAGGAAGGGATGAAAACTCTTACGTGCCCGTGCAGCATCATCGTTGAACAGGGAGGATCTGATGCAGACTTAAAGGCAAAGATTGGCAGAGTAATGGCTGCATTCTTACAGTTGAAGAACATACGGAAATCAAAACGACTATCAACCAATATCAAAGTTACGGTCTTCAATACGAACGTCAAGACAGTTCTACTGTACGGAACTGAAACTTAAAGAACTACTACAATCATCATCAAAAATGTACATGTATTTATGAACAATCGTCTAAACAAGATACTCAATGTCCGTTGGTCGGATATCAGCTGCAACAGCCTACTGTATGAGAGATCAGCTTATGGGATGGAATATCTTTAATGGGTGAAAGCTACAATATTGACTTGATTAGAAACCTAAATTTACGATAGCATGATGTACTTCTGTACCAAATAAGTGGTCTTGGATGTCATTTTAAACTGAATGATGCTGTTTGGAAAAGACAGTCAGACCAAGTCTTCCTCATATATTTCCCTTGCATAAAGATACATTTTTATAAAGGTATTTACTTTATTGCTCATCTGAGTCATTATTAGCTGGAACTAGAAATCAGAACATTAACATTGTCCGAAGTTATTTTTTCGTACAATTTAGCTTTTATAGAATTTGTGGGTAGCTAAAATGTATTATGTTCAACCAACAGATTGCCTCCCAATGTTCCCAGTCGAATTAAAAGTACTCTGCGATTATACCAATAACCTGCGTATGAACTATTGCATGAAATGGTATATTTACGATGATCAGCAAACCATGGGGAATAAAATGTTTATCTTTCTCAGTTATATTGCTTTCTAGTACAAATGATGATTGCTTGTCCACCAAGAACACATTACTATATCATTTAGCTTTGGTAGCAATGGTGCATCTCTTAATATTCAAATGCATCTACGAATGGTTGGTAGCATAATTATTTGTCCCCAAATGCCCTGAGACGGTCGAGAGTGGGGAGAGTCCGCTCTTACACTCGAGATACTCTCACATGGCTACGTGTATACAGACACTCTCAGGGAAGTCCTACCCACTGCCTTCTTGTGGCATTACTGTGATTTACGAAATTGAACGGACAAAAAGCGAATGTCCGGCTCTTTAACCGGGTTGGTGGTCACAGAAGGTCCACCTAGGGGAGTTGTAAAAACCTGATTCCTAACCAATGGTGCAGATGAGCGCCAGGATCCCGAGGGAAAAAATGGAGTATGAACCTATTGTTGGTCACTGGCTACCATGGGACTGTATCTCCTAATGTTGCTCCACTGCCTCGTGGATTAGACCTTCAGGTCAAAGGGTCGGTGTGGGGCCTCAAAAGATAACCACCTGCTTCAATTCGGGCACCCGAGCAGTGTCACAGCCCTCACACGAATCAGTGATAACTACTACTGGTTTCATTGTTATTGTGTGGCGCATATGTATTCGGTGCCTCCTTGTACCAATGTTTATGTGATCAAATAATAATAATTATGTCAGATCATGCCAGTTTCCCTATTTTTGACTGTTTTCATCATAGACGACAGGCTTAGAGAATATAAATAACAACTATCGCAATACTCTATCTTATGACTGTTCACCAAAAAGTTGACAAATACATCCATAAAGGCCCAGCACCAATTAATTGCTACAATCTACCTTTTGGGTAAAAATTGTCTTGAAAAAATGTTGGGGCGGGTGCATTCATCAACATAAAATGTAGCATTCAAATAACCACTTATTAAAAATGTTTAAGTGAGGTAAAAACAGGACTACTAAATCGACCATTAATATATTGACAAACTGAAATAAGTGGCAGGTATCTTATACATAACATGATAATTGGCTTAACAAAGAAGACTCCAAATCGAGTTTTTAAAACATTAAACTACAATACTGTCTACCTAAGAAACCAAACAGCATATGATTACCGTCATAAGGGATAGGAATCTGTTTATTATTTGAAGTTCTAAATCGAACGGATACTCAGAAACCTATTATTTACTCACAGTTGTCTGAATATTTCATCATTTCTGTAAGTAACCAAATTTTACACTTAAATTAAATTAAAGAGGCAATCTTGTTCAGTCCTTATGATTTCTGTTAAATTGAGTACAATCACCGAGTAGTCATCGTTCGCTAACATTGTATCATTTTGCATCGATTGATCAATCTCTATCCTTCATTTTAGGATGACGCATGCTCACAACCACAACTGTGAATGCAGTAATTGTATACTAGCATCACTAAAACAGGCATGAGTAACGTAGAACTTGTTGTGACTAATACAACGCTGCGTCAGCGCAGAGAAAGCAAAAAGAAAACAGTACTAAGAGTAATAATTATAATGTAGAGATAACAGAGAATATAGTGTTGACTAATCGGGGAAATTATTGGATTAAACGCATCGGATACACTTCACAGGTTCAATTTTCGTCATGTAGTATTTACAGTAACGTGTGGTGATATCACGGATGAAGTTATACTGACAGCTGGATAGGAATGTAAAAGACGTGACATATATCTTAAGAGGATGTAACCTTCCGCCGCGTGGCTAGGCGAGGTAGCCGCCGTCACAACACATATGAGTTCCAAACATGTAACAGCTAATGTCGATTTCAGTAAACTGAAATACCACTCATGCTTGGCTAAAAGCATACTGTTAACTACACAGTAAAGCACTCAACCTAAAAACCCTATTTAAAATAGGATAGATAGCATATCGGGTAAGTTCCAAGGAAGGTCTTAGTAATAGGTGATTTTCTCATATTTGAGGAACGTCTCTTATGATTTCATTTTGACAACCAACAATTTCCTTTCAACACTAAGCTAATTGACTTGATGACCGCTGATACAAAGTCACAGATAAATCACTGTGGGTCATTGTTAGGTTAGATAGGTAGAAGACTACCACTTTATTCCGCGTGACTTCTGAACTGTAGTTACTCGTTACCCTGACAGAGCCAAAATAGTTTACGCACTGAATTAAACGTCACACAATGACCATGAGAAATGGCAGATAGTAAGCTGTCATCAGATAGTAGCCAGCAATTATTTGAATTGTTTCCCAGAAGCCTATAGTCAACAAGACTAGCAGAGCGAAAGATGGATTGTTGATAAGCTTTAGGAAAATGTGACTGAGACGCCAGGTTAAATGACCTATGATCTGTAAATTGAGGTAGTTAGGATGGTTTCTCTGAATAGTTTGAACTAAGAACCAAAATATAGATAGACTTAAAACTCGAACGAAACCGTCAAGCCACGTTAGATATCATATTTTACGGTCGGAGCATGAAACTAGAATCCACACGATTGATAAAAATCTTACAAATCTACTTACTTCGTGCAAAGTAATTTTATTTGTGACTTTAGCTTCTCTATCTCTCTGCGACAAGCAAGTCCCAAGCGGAAGAAGTTGTCTGTAATTTGATCTTTTTTAGCAATTAAAACCAAGCGTTCTTTTTCCAGACGACTGACGTGTGCATTCAGTGCCTCAACTTCCGCTTCCAATAATGAAGATTGGGATTGGAGAGAACGTACATGTTCGGGCTTTAAGAAAGAAAGACGACATCAACTTTAAGTTCTTAGCCTGTAACAAGAAAACTATGTAACCAAAGCCATAACAACAACCATGACAAATTCTGAATATTTTCCTTTAAAAATCATGGAGTCCCTGATATGCGATGGTATACATGACTATTTACCGTCCTTAAATTTCTTACCCCAAAAGCATGGTTTCAGGAAGGGTTACTCTTGTATAACCAAACTGCTAACTGCGGTGGACAGATGTGCAAGCATCTTTGATCGCAAGGGGAGGGTTGACATCATTTACCTTGACTTCTCAAAAGCTTTTGATAGGGTTGACCATATATGTCTTATCCATAAGCTCAAATAATTGAGTATCAGACCACCTCTAATTGATTGGCTCACCTCATATCAGAAAAATCAACATTTTAAGGTCGAGGTTAACTTCACTTTATCTCAGGCTATGGAATATTCTAGTGAGGTCCCCCAGAGTTCAGTACTAGGACCTTCTCTCTTCTTCATTTATATAAACAATCTTCCATAACAAGTATCGTCGGACTTATTACGTTTAGCTGATGACGTGATACTTTTGAAAGAGATACGCAACCAAGACGATATACAGACAATTCAGGAGGATTTGACTCGACTTCAAAGTTTGGCAGACGACAACGGACTTACTTTTAACACTTTCGAAATGTAAAGTAGTCCATCTGCGACAAGTCGCAGACTAGTTACAACTTAAGAAACTCCTCTCTAGTAGTATCCCGAGTCGAAGAAAATTTAGGAGTCCTGGTACCCTGTGATTTGAAGTCTTACGCTAGCCGTGACAAAAATGCCTTTCGAGCAAACCTAGCACTGGTAACGTTGAAGCGCATTTTTGGCCAGTTTGACGGAAGAACTTTCCACATAATCTTCAACAGTTATTCGTCCCCATTTAGAGTACGGAAACATAGTATTTCTCTCCCCTCCAAAAGAATAGGGACACTCTGGAGCCTATCCAACGGCGAGCCACGAAATTAGTCCGGGGACTCATTCAAACCTTATGAAGAGCGCCTCCAATCGCTTAACCTTTACCCATTAGAGTATAGGCGTCTTAAAGGTGACCTTCTGATGGCTTACAGTACCCTTAGCACTCCTGGACATCCCCTTAAACGCCTAATTAAGCTTAGTCCCAATACAAACCCATAGGGTAACACCCGGAAAGTGGAGATACAACACAGCAGAATGGACTGTAGACACAACTTCTGCTCCTTAAGAGTTGTCAAATGCTGGAATTCGGTGCCGACCGAACTATTCCAAGCGACTTTCCAGGAGTCCTTGAAGAGGAAACTTGACCTATTCTTAAAGACTAAGGATATTATCTTATCATGAGTTACCAATTTCTTTTTTTCTGATCTATTATAGTTAATATACCTAGGTCCCTGCCTGGAGGTATTGGTGATCCCCTGCTACTAGACACGAAAGCCTGTTAAGCGAAAGTTTCTTCTATTCCGTCCACAACCATTTGAAATCATTTAATTAGGTATGATCTAAGGACTGTAATTTGATAACTGCCTACACGCTCCCTGCCACACAAAATGTGTCTTATTTGTAAGACACGACGATATCAAACGATTTTCGACAAACTACCCTAAAATATTTCTGGTTCATCATCAAGATAACCGTTCCTCAATAAGAAATCTTTTAAATGTAAAACAATGTCTAATTTCACGTTGACCATGAGAACGGTCGAAACAAGTTGGCCCCATGATACTTAAGTAAACTTGAGACTGGAACTGATGCTTGTGACGTCTTGCTGCCTGTAAACTAGATATAACGAATCAAAGTAACAGTCCGAAAAATTTATAGAAATCAGTAAACAAATTTTATGAAAACTTTGATACCACATCTAAACTGCAGAGATATTCCAGTCTTTTTTCATCATCTTCAGCTACAATTTCACTATAAAGATCGAGGTCAGTCATCCCTGACCAGCGACCTGGCTAGAAAAAACTCCGAAGTCGGTAGCGTCAATTAGGGATTAGACCGCCTAAATAGCGCTAGAACATTACAAATGTCAAACTTTGCGGTAGAGAAATGACTGGCTGTGATTCTTGAAGTATGTGTTTGAAAGATCTCAGAAACATTAAAACATGAGTATTTTATCCGTCTATCATATCCAGGAATAGATGAATGGATGGGTGGAACAATTTAAGGAATTCCTAGATAGACCAGCTACATTGAATCCACCGGACATCGAAGCAGCACACACAGACCTTCCAATAGATGTCACTCCATCAACGATCGAAGAGATCTGGATGACCATCAGACAAATCAAGAGTGAGAAAGCAGCAGGATCTGACAATATACCAGCTGAAGCACTGAAGTCAGACATAAGAGTAACTGCAAACATGCTTCACCTTTTATTCACAAAGATTTGGGAGGAGGAATAAGTGCCACCGACTGACTGGGAAGAAAGATATCTGGTCAATGTACAGAAGAAAGGAGATTTGAGCAAATATGAAAACTATCAAGGCATTACACTACTGTTGGTACCAGGAAAAGTTTTCAGTGTTGCTGACCCGGATGAAAGATTCAGTAGATGCCCAACTTCGAGATCAATACGCCGGATTCCATAAGGATCGGTCGTGCACAGACCAAATCACGACACTACGGATCATCATTGAACAACCAACTGAGTGAAACTCGTCACTATACATCAACTCCCTTGATTATGAGGAAGCCTTTGACAGTGTAGATAGAAGGACCTTGTGGGATCTTCTTTGACACTATGGCGTACCTGAGAAAATCGCCATCATCATCCGGAATTCATACGACGGAGTGCAGTGCAAAGTCGTGCATGGAGGACAGCTGACAAACGTATTCCAGGTGACGACCGGAGTCAGACAAGGCTGTTTGTTCTCCCTCTTTCTCTTTCTTATGGTGGTTGGATGGATTATGAAGACCTCTACATCTGAAAGGAAACACAGAATACAACGGATAGCTTGGGTGCAATTAGACGATTTGGACTTTGCAGATGACCTGGCTCTTCTATCCCGTACACAGCAACAAATGCAAATGAAGAAAGCCAGTGTAGCAGAAGCCTCTGCATCAGTAGGCTTCAACATACACAAGGGAAAAAGCAAGGTCCTCAAATACAACACAGAGAACACCAACATTACCACACTTGGTAGAGAAACTCAGGAAGGGATGAAAACTCTTACGTGCCCGTGCAGCATCATCGTTGAACAGGGAGGATCTGATGCAGACTTAAAGGCAAAGATTGGCAGAGTAATGGCTGCATTCTTACAGTTGAAGAACATACGGAAATCAAAACGACTATCAACCAATATCAAAGTTACGGTCTTCAATACGAACGTCAAGACAGTTCTACTGTACGGAACTGAAACTTAAAGAACTACTACAATCATCATCAAAAATGTACATGTATTTATGAACAATCGTCTAAACAAGATACTCAATGTCCGTTGGTCGGATATCAGCTGCAACAGCCTACTGTATGAGAGATCAGCTTATGGGATGGAATATCTTTAATGGGTGAAAGCTACAATATTGACTTGATTAGAAACCTAAATTTACGATAGCATGATGTACTTCTGTACCAAATAAGCAGATATTAAAATGCTGTATAATAACTGGAAAGGATTTTTCACGACAGAGGTCTATGGAGAATGCTAGTGAACGGCCTTTGCTCCTTCACGAGGGGTAACAGTCGAAAATATGTACATTGGAGATTTCTGTTCATCATATTCTTCGTCGGTTTTCCATCATTTTTAATTTCATTGGGTGAGAACTATAAGTGTGAGTTTAAGTATACTCGTACATAAGTAACGATATAAAGCATACTAAAAACTTGTATTCATATGTGTAGAAAGCATGCGATACCGTAAAGTGTCTTACAGTGATGTATTTAAATTTTTTCAGAATAAAACACACATTCATATGAGAACATCAGTGCAATATATATGTTTCTGTCTTTTTGACTTAAGTATACAAACAATATAAAATAAAACGTTATGCAGTGTTCTATGAAAAGTGGTCATCTACGTGTTCTGGAAATATTACCTATTGTCAGAGCGCGTTGTTGAGTGGCGGTTATCCGGTACCAGTGAAGTTTCGTCGTGGATGGTGATTATCGGGAACAGCATCGTAACTATGGGGTCCATGTCAAGTAAAATCAAAATTTTTGGAGTTTCCTCCTGGATACATAGATATAAGATGGTCAGTCCTGATACTATCGTTATTTCGGTTTTTATTGATGGAACATCACTTAGGGTTACAATGAAAAATTTTATGGGGCACTCCGAACTCAGGTTCTAGAGGTCGGAGTAATGAAAGCTCGTACTCTTAGTTGTAAGGTGGATTGGACGATAACATTAATTAATAGCATTATAATGGAAGCAGGTTTAACTATACGCATCTCAGTTGCAAGTATGCTAGTGTAAGAGCTTAGATCCATATTGTTTGAAGAAGAAGGACCAACGAACTCTCGGAAGTCGAAGTGTTCTTCTGTAAACGAGTCGTGCAGCTGTGTATCAAGCATCAGCATTTATTCTATTGAGAATACTAAGTAACATAAATGAAGAGCCTCAGTCTATTGTGGTATGGTTACGAGCCAAATTGAAGCTCTTAACAGTCGGTAAAGTTGTTCTACTAACCGTTAGCTTGTGGGTGGTGGATGGTCGTTCGGAATCGTATGATTTCTAGTGATGCGGTAAGAAAACAGGAAAGTTCAGATTCCAACTGGAATCCACAGTCTGTAGTACTATTTGAAGTACGGTCGAATTTTGCTAACTACCGTTCGATTAGGGCATGGGCATCTGTTTCAGCCGTGATGTCTTGGATTAATACTACTTCTGGCCATCGTGTGAAACGGCACACAATTGTTAATTGATAAGAGTATCCATTGGAATCTGGTAAGGGTCCTACTAATTCAAGATGGATGTGTTCACACCGAGCGTCAGGAGTTTCTAAAGAACCTGAGGGGAATTTGTTGAAGAGTCATCTTAGATTTTTGGGAGATTACAAAACAACGTGAACACTCCCTCACATCGTTATTCATGCCAGGCCAACAAAATCGTTCAGCTAAGAGTTTAGTGACTGAGAGAACACACCGATGAGAAAGCTTGTGCAACGTATTGAATACGTTGCGTTGATAATGTTTCAGCTCCACTCGACGACCCCTACCTGTAGATGGATTATATAAAAAATTGCCTTACCTGTTTTCATCTATTCGGTCAGTAGTTTCAAGAATCTTGTTGACAACTCGTACTCAATATCGGTGTTTTCCTTTTAAAGCTTGGCGAGCTTAAGAAAATTGAAGCCTTGGAAACTGTTCGATGAAGGTACACGTGACAAGGTACCTGCAACTACATTGTTCACTCCAGAGATATGTTGTATTTCTGAAGTAAATTGGGAAATGTAGTCTAGCTGTTGAGACTCTCGAGGATAGTACTTGTTTGAAGACAAGCTAAGAGAAAAAGTAAGAGGTTTATATTCTGTGGAGAGTGAGTTCGCATCGACACAAGTCATGGTAAAAGTGCCGCACAGCACAATACATTGCTGGGAGTTCCCCAAAGAAGGTAGTGGTCATAGGGATTTTATAAATTTCGTCATTAGCCATAGGAAACTGGTTATATTATTCGACCAGACAGTTTTTTTAGGAAGTGGTTTTGCCTTTTCAGGTAGCCTTCGGGTCATGGATATGGTGCAAAGGGTTATGGAATTACGGTCTAATTTTTATTAGTATTGCCGTAAAAATAGACCTTATCCTAAAATTGTGGATTTGTCATGATGCGAAAACCTAATCTATAAGATCTTACGTAGAAGTCACATCATCGTTTATTCTGACTCACTGTGTCGTAACAATGGGCAATATGTTTGGCGTTTCTAAAGAACACATTTAGGTTGGAGATAGGACAATATATTTAATGTGAATAGAAGAGATAAGCTACGCAAGAATGACCACTCCTGCAAGGCTGAGTAATGCCATCCGACCCAATATCGAATAAGTGTTCCCGCGTTCACTATAGTTGACCTTCTCTTCGTGTTAATTGTTAAATATAAATTTTTTCAGTAAACATATGCTCGACTTTGAAGGTCGTGTGGTTAAAAACCAATATCACTACAGGGTAGTGTTTGTGAATGGCTTTTCCATTCAGTCATCGTTAATCACCAGTTGGACGCTAATCGTCGCTATTCTTTTCAGGACCGTGTGCAAAGGAGATGCCTATGGGCTGAATAATTCCCTAGTCTATTATGTGCCGGAATTCGTTTTTGGCAAACCTTAGCTTTATGGGAGCCAGTCGACACGAGAAGAGATGCACAATATTCCCGGGCACTTACGGTAATTTTGTTCGCGTTGGGGACAGTTTGGGTACTTGTTGAGTGTTCGTTAGAAGTATAGATCGATTATATGCTTAACAATGACTGGGATAACCTGCAATCAAAAAATGCTTTCGTCTGGGTCAGGTAGTAGTTTATGGTGTTGTAGCAGTTCTACACCAATGATTGGTATAAGGACATCAGCGACAACGAAAACCCAGTGAATGGGTTTGCGTAAATCCATGTTAATACAGAAATATTGCTTACCGTATGTGACGGTCGATTTTCCATTTGGTATCTGTAAGTTGAAGACCGGTCCATGCATAAAGTCGTTAGAGTTGGCAAGAATAACGCTTATGTTGAAGAGGTAGCTAAATTTCGTCGCCGAATGAGTGACGTGCAACAGCCGACTATGCGTTCTGGCGGTGAGGTTTACCGAAAGGTTTTTCTTGTCCGATAGTTTGTAGCTTGGAAATCTGCAGGGGTTTTTGCAATTTATGGAAGGCTTACCACACATATTGTGGTACCGACACCAATCAGGAGTGTATTCCTCTTGCAGTCAAGAGACAAATAATTTTCTTCAGTTTCTTTTTCCGGAAATTTCGTAGTGTCTATGATTATAGTGAATATTAAGGCAGCG